CTTTTTTTTTTTTTTTTTAAGCTTTTTTGCTTGGTTTGTCCATGCTAGACTTTAAATAACATAAAGAAAAATATTGTAATAATAATTTTTAAAAAATGAAACTAAAACAGAACATACAGTGGGGCAAAAAAGTATTTAGTCAGCCACCAATTGTGCAAGTTCTCCCACTTACAAAGATGAGAGGCCTGTAATTTTCATCCTAGGTACACTTCAACTATGAGAGACAGAATGAGAAAAAAATCCAGAATATCAAATTGTCTGATTTTAAAGAATTATTTGCAAATTAATACTTTTTTGCCCCACTGTATATACATACATAAATAATGGTAATTGTAGAAAAACAGGCAAATATTAAAAACTGAAAATAAGTTATACAAAATCATATTCATCGCAGTAATAATAAGGGGTATTATATGATAAATGATGTGAAACAAAAAATGAACTTCCTTAGCTTTAAATAAACGTTGATTGCAAGACAGTCATATATAACATAATGTTATCATAGTACTTTGATATGTTTGCTCATTTTCTTTTTACGGTGCTACTTATTGCCTTTTTAATTAATATGTTAGTCTACTGAATTTATTTTGCCTTTTATCTTCCCTGCTACTAGGGCTGTATCCGAATATTCGTTCGTTGTAGTACTATTCGGGTTTTCAATTTCGATATTCTTTTTTCCCCCCCGTTTTTTGTTGGGCAGTGCAGCGCAAGGCACACTGGTTAAGGATGGCAGCTTCCTCATCGTTGCACTCGGAGAGAAATAGTAAGAGACGGAGACGATGAACTGCTGTTAGTTCTATTATGGCATTGTGCATGTCGTGAGAGGTGTACGTTGCTGTGTGGGGAATGCTTTCCATTATTTTGGCCAACTCTGCATCTTTGTCTGCACCGTATACTCAAACAGCGACAGGAAGAGCCCACTGCCTGACTCGGACCTGCTGTGGAGTGAATCGTGGTCACCTCTGAGAGGGACAGTGTTGGGTGTAACGCGTTACAAAAGTAACGGAGTTACAGTAATATATTACTTTTTGCTGTAACAAAGTAATGTAACGCATTACTTATGAAATGTGGGTAATATATTACCCCGTTACAATGCCCAGTAACGCAGTTTACAACACATTTCAACCCGAAATTAAATGGTGTTTTGTTTTTTAAGAATGTAACATAGCGAGGACATTCCGACACCAGACAAATTGTGCGGGTAGATTAGTAAACCTGGTGTTTACCCTTCAGGGCTTCGCGTCGGGATCTTCAGGCAGTTGAATGTTATGCACCCCTCTATTCAAAAAAGAGAACGGAGCGAAAAATACAAACAACAAATTGTGTCAGGTGCGCGTGACCTGCCCGCTGCGCGTGCATCATTTCCAAAGTGCTTCCACAGCAGTGACACACATCTGTGGATGATCATTTATACGAAAATGGTTAAAGCAACCATCACTAAACGCCAGCAACAGTGCATCTACTGCAGACAGTTAGCAACAGGTCAGATGGGGACATTCACGTTACCCTCCGTTGTTGGTGGACACTAGCGTACTCCTCCCCTGACTCGCCCCCCGGAGCAGCAAGTCTTCGTCTCCCCAAACTACGCCGCCCCTCTGCGGCCCGCAGGTGCCAGGATACCACGGCAAAACAGAGCCTGCCCAGGTATATCTAAACAAGTACCCTGCCTGTACAGTGGGGGTTAGGCGGTCATTTTGCAGCTCGTGGTATACAAATAGACAGGGAATATTCATGTGAAAATAGATTCATATTCTGCCATGCCTGTAGACATGTTGGGTCAAACATAATGCATACAATAGCACAGATGCCTTCACCACGAATGGCTACAAAAATATCTCATATCCCGAGCTTACATACATCAACGAGCTAATGTTGCAGCTGAAATGTTCTCCAGGTCACAAAGTCAACCTCACATGATGATGTGATACCAGTTTTCAAGCACAGTAAATATTCTCTTCCCAGAGTATATGATGGGACCAAGGTGATGATGTAGTACATGGTTTTAATAATACGTTTGCTTTTCAATGTTTGCCATTTCAAAGCATGAGCTGGTTCAAATAATATGTGCCTTGATTTACAATATGTTCTCCTTTGTTTTATCAGTACAGTTTTGAAGCTGTTGTGCTTTTCCTTGCCATAGTCCACTTTGGACTATATGACATATTTCAGGATTAATGTTCTCACTTGCCTTGGTTTCAAAACAGACAAATGCCCATAATCTGTTCATTGGGACCATCAATGCTATTTTTCATTGCTGTTGCCGGCCACTATTGCTCATTTAAACATGCTACTGCTGCGCCCCCTGTAATCTCAGATGGCACCCCGAGTCATTTTGTTCTGGAACCGGGCCTGAACATGGCCATATACTATTGTTTGCTTCCTCTCTGCCTTCTTCTGGTGCCTTTATCTGACGCCCAGCGCTCCGTCTTTTAACCTCTTTTCCTTTCTCTTTCTTGATCCTCCTTAGCAACCTTCATTATAGTCCTTGACAGTGGTCTGTACTGCTGTATTAACAACGTGTCACATGTTAAGAAGTTACAATCAGAATCCAGTATTCAACTAAGCCGTGTAATACAAGTTGTTAGTAGCCTTAAGGGGCCTACACAGTATGCTATACCACATTGCCCTTCACTGGATGTATAATGAGCTGCACTAAACTACATTTTAGCATTTAAATACCTAGCCATTCTTTTGCGGTTATTTTTGGTGAAGTAAGTAACTCAAAAGTAACTAAAAGTAGTTGTAAACTCATTACATTCAGAGACAGTCATATTGTAATGTAACTTATTACTTTCAAAAGAGAGTAATATGTAATATATTACATTTTGGAAGTAACTTGCCCAACCACTGGAGAGGGAGTATGGTTGGGACAGCTAAAAAGCAATAATATCAACGACAGCTGACACGTAATAACGGCTCCGTGCAGCTGATCTGCACCCAAGTACTAATTTATTTATTTGTTTCCTCGCGTATCTGTCTCCTCTCTCCACAAATCTCACATGAAATGTGTTCTTTTGATGCGGGATGTCTTAGCAGTCCCTTTATCAGTCTGTAATGCGTGTTTCCAGTCGCAAAAACTTTGAACAGTAAAAGCCGCATCAGATGAAGACGTATTTTACTTTAAACTGTCTACAGGGGAACAAAAGGCTGCGTCTGCTTTTAACGAATATTCAAGCCATGGTCTGTTGTTTGTACCATGCAAGCGGCAAAAGTGCGCTTCTTTCCTGAAAACAATCTCCCTGGAAAACGATCCATTGTTTTCACCTGCTTGGGTTTATTAACCCCAAGATCATCTGGGGCTGTTGGTCTTGGAGCGGTTTCTGGCCCAATAGTACCTGTTGATGTGCTGCAGGTAGCGTCTGTAGTGGAGGCCACCGGCAAGGAGGAGGATGCTGGGGGTGTGGTACAGGGTGTGGCAACGCAGGTGGTGACGGTAGGGGCACAAGGAGCTGTGCCTCGGAGGACAGCGTTGGAGGCGGCCGCCTTGATGAGTCAAGGATTGGGCTCGCTAACTCAGCCCCGTGGTTTTAAGCTTGTGACATTTAAGGCGTGCTGCTGCAACGGCCGGTGCAGGGTCGCCAGCAAGTTTGCATCGGCTGCAGTTCTTTCATCCACTATTTAGTTTTAATAAATCCTTTTAAGCCAATTTCTGATGTCCATTTTGTAATTCAAACAGAAATGGACGTCTACAGAATGCACAATAAACAATAAACAAATCCAGAATAGGCGACGCAGAGTGTGACGCTGTGATTGGTCTAAATGTGGACGAAATCACAAATCACAACAGAGACATGAATTTATCTGATGTAGCCTGCGATTTTTTTTTTGTTACTATCTGACATCACATACATTGTAAACATAACAGTTCACCGTTTATTTATAATTAAACAAATATATATATATATATTTTTAAAGGTTTTTAAATAATAAAAACGTTGTTTATTGGGGGTGGGCAGGAATATCAAATGGGAGGGCCTGGCCCTCCCATTTGATATGGACAGCCCTAACTGACTGCTTTGCTGGAACACTGTAAAATTCCCTGCTGTGGGACGAATAGCGTATTCTGAATCTGTAAGAAGGTGAGACAGAGAAGGTGGAGGTATAGCTAGGAATAGCCTTCAGGCATACCATGTATTCATCAGAAATGAAAAAGACTGAGGGCAGACGAGTGTTTTTTTTGGTGTGTTTTGGAACGAAAGGAACAGATGGAAACTCTGAGTTGAAGGGGAAAGGAGGACAGTAGTGCTACAGGGGTCGGATGGAAGCATTTGGGTGGAGGAAAATGGTTTTGATATGAACTACAGATGGAGAAAATTAGGAGGAGAAAGAGACACCTAAGGAGTCAGATTTAACTTTAGCTGATTTGAGTTTCTGGGGCAGAGGGAGTCGAGGGAAGGAGGAGGAAGATGGTTGAAAGGAATCGGGCTGAGAAATGAGTGATATATTAAAAACAGGAGTTAGACAGAGCCGAGTGTAGGTGGAGAATCTGCACCGTGGAATAACAGAAGCTCATTAGCTGCACCATGCATTCTTAATGTCGGGATATGGACTCGTCTTGTTAATCCTTTTATGGAGTGTGTGTGTGTGTGGTCAGATAAGTGCATTTACTGTGATGTTAGCCGTGTTTGTTCAGAGTCAGGTTTATTGCAAAGTAGGTTTACATGTACAATGCAACTGCTTTGCTGCTATAATGGTTCAACACAAGAAGAGTTGGGTTGTATAAAAGGAAACAAATATATTGTTTTATTCATGGGTAGAGAGGGGGTCTAAAATATGCACACTTGGATTTGTGCCGAATGGATTACAAAGCCGTTACGTTTTCAATGAAGGAAAATAAAAGAACAGTTTTTGTCTATGTATATTTTTTTAAACATACAATTATATATTTTATAATATGTGTTTATGTTATTTCAATAATTAGGAGGAGCATTAGAAAGTTACTCATCTTCTCCTTCCTTCATCTGTCTCCCCCTATTTCCTTCTGGTTTGATCCCTTTTAGGAGTGTGACGTGGGATCGCAACAACACCACAGCAATGGGCTTCCAAGACGTGGCGAGGGCGCTGGAGCAGTAAGACAAACACACACACAACACACACACACAAAAAACCTTTTGAAGAGGGGATAACATTCACACGGACGGATAACCATCTCTGTCAAGAGTTGACTCTTACACAGCGTTTTCACTCAGCCCTCTGACGCGGTTATGCCAGTTCTTTTTCTTTTCATGTGTGAAGTTTGTTTAAATGTGTGTGTGCATTTGCGTATATTAGGGAATCGAAGACAAGTGTTATAAAAGCCCTTGGTGTGTTCCTGTTTGTTCTTGTTAACATCATAATTCCTCCAGTTTGTTGTTGCAAGGGTAATATTATCTTTGTCCTTCCTCCCCTCTGCCTAATAGCAACTTCACTCTTCAGTACATGCCCCTCCCCCTCAGTGATGTCACTCAGGCGCACCGCAAGCAACCCGGAGAAGACGGACCAGGCCCTGACCAAGGTGAGAGGGGATTTTACTCGTTGTTTGTCAAGTGTTAAATGTTGGTACGTCATAGTTCAGAAATGCAGATAAAGGCATAACCTGAAAATTAGGTTGACGGTTTTCATTTGCTTACATTAATGCGTATGATTAGATGTTGATGTTTTGGTCGTATTGCTGTTGTGAAAACCCTGCGTGGGACATTTAAAGACACCCTACTTTTAAAGACCTTTTAATGCCTTTTTGAAATATGAATTTCATTAAATACCTTATAGTAGGGCTGGGCAATATATCAAACATAATCAATATTTGATGTCTTGTCCACGTAGGATGATGAGATTACTATATTGTGAACATCGAGTGTACATTTTCTCATAACTTTAGCCACCAGCATGAGACTTGCTTTGGTGTTTGTCCTCCCTCCATTCTCTCCCATGACTCCCTCTCCCTCTCACAGACACACAATAAAAGCTCACATATACGTCACACACACGGCCCATCGGGAGTTAAATCAGGCCATGGCTGTTTACAAGAATGTGTTTCAAATGAGTGCCTAAGGAAAATGTTTGAACATTTCCCTTAACAGCCAGACACAATTAAAAAAATCTGACTTTGATAGATTATTCAAGAAAATAGTAAACTGAATAATCTCTAATGAAAAGATAACTGTGTTGCAGACCCATGCTCATTTCCCTCTTGTGCTCCAGGTATTGTTTAAAGTTAAGGTCACTTTCATGTTGGATAACAATTATAGATCCTTGATAAAACAAAGGTGTAAAATAAAAGACATTGAATCAGAATACATATACTCGCCCCACAGAGGGGACATTTACATTTGTTGAGAAATATGTCCATAACTAACCTAAACCCTAAAGTTTACATGTCTTACTCTTTGAACTTTTTTATACATAAGATGGTGAAGCAGGTAAGCATCCGCGGAGTCAAGACAATAAAACAGTTTTATAGTTATCTGCTATTTGTATTTACCTCTCATATATACTTCAAAATATTCTACTGCAAAGTGATGGATCTCCTTTACAGCTAACGTGCTCATTTCCTTTCTACGACACATCGATGTGTTCTTGAATATCGATGTCCTCTAATGTCAGTGCCTGACAATACGCATTTCAAATGTTGTTGATCATGGTGGCAGCCGTCTGTTGGGGTATGAGTTATCCGTCTGTGTCACCAGAGACGTTTCTTTTCATACAGCCAATCAAAACACTAAACCAAAGCGGTGGCCTCCTCACTGCCATGACCGTGACATTTACCGACAGCCAGACGGCATGCTAAGACAAAGAGTGTGAGCAAATCTGACATTTCCAGACGGGAAAGATAAGATAAACATGAAGATCTGTCAGGTCCGATCGTGAATGGTGTGGTTTTCTTAGTCTATACCACTGCTAATGCTGTTTGTCACTTGGCTTGTAAGCTGCAGTTAACAGAGCGAGTCTGTTTACATCTCACATCAAACTCCTTTCCCCCCGACGGCTCAGCTGTCAATCACTTGCACAAAACTTCTCACCACCCTAGGAGCTCGGAGGCTAAAGGAGAATTTCTGATACATCTCCAGAAAACATCAACAGTATATTTTTACACCAGTTCAGCATATTTAGACGGAAGGTGCTTCCTAACATCAGAAATAGATCTGGTGTGGAGCTATTCTTTTTCATATTTGTTTTGGTTGTTAGTGTATAAAGCAGTGTTTCTCAAACTTGTTCATACCAAGGACCACTTAACCCAGGGGTCGGCAACCCGCGGCTCGAGAGCCCTCTACTCTGGCTCCCTTGAGTTTAGACAAAAATAAGAAGGAAATAAAATAAAAACATTTGTAGGACTATTTATATTTTGTTGCACGGTTGAAAATGTTTCGTATCTTGTATTTTGAGGTGATACTGTGACACATACATTTTAAAAAAAAAAAAAAACGGTTTTAATTAGGTCAACTAAAATATGCGTCACATCCTGCTACGGTCCCGCACCAGCGCCTTTTCTTGCAGGTGAATAAGCTGACCCCCGGCTCGATGAGCGAACTATGGATAAATCAAGAAAATAAAAGTATCGTAGGAACCCAGAGGGTTTAATTCTGCGTGGTTATATATATGCTTTCACAGCACACGATTGCTGGCTTACCGGTATGTTTGATATGTGGAGAGAAGTTGTCAAAGGTGCTGCAGCCTTTACGTATTGAGGAGAAAAACACGGAAGATGAAGACTGCTGACGATCTTCAGTCATAATTCAATAAGTTAACTCTTTTTAGGGTGCAGCCATATGTTTTATTTATTTCAAAGTGGGCCCATTTAAATGTTATTCATTTTCAGCCCAGTGGCCGTACTGTGAGACAGCGATACACAGCAAAACCCAGCCCCGAACACACACACACCCTGGCTGGGAGTTTGTGTGTGTGCTCACACCAGAGGTCGCGTTAACCGAATATTTTCCGTCTGACGGATTTTTTTTAACAATGACGGAAAAATCTGAAAGCAGTCCGTCATTTTGATGGATTAGAACAAACTCGGAAACAGCGCCAAAGTTTCCCCCGCAGCGAGGCTCCGGTGTTAAGCATGCCTGCCAAAAAGGAAATGATACCGTTTCCAAACCCAAATCATTGAAATGTCTGTGAGTTTTGGCTTTACGCTGTGCGCACTCCCGCGAGGTGCAGTGGGCATGCATAAACACGGCGCTAACCCCGCCCCCCGTTGACAGTTCACGACCGTGCTCTCCCCCCCGGTTGACAGTTCTCCCTCTCTCACCCCGCCCCCACCCAGAGTGTAAAGGCCGACGGGTAATACTGCTGAATTTTGACGGAAAATGTTACGATCCTGTCGTCAAAATACCTGGGCAGTGAAAAAAGTCTAGCGCAACCTCTGGCTCACACACCGACTCACAGCCCCGCCGCGTTCCCGCCGTGTCAGGGAGGAGAAATCGGCGGAGCTGCAGCTGAGAACATATTGAGTGTGTGTGTTTGAGGAAGTCCGCTGATTGGTCCATGTGGATATGGAACCAGGAAGAAAAAGAGAAATCTCCACGAGGCTTTCTGGGGCAGCACAGACAGGTCTTTTCTGTGTTAGAGTTTTACTCGCTACAGGGTGATCTTTTAGGGTTTTTTGACTCTGCAGACCGTTTTACATGCAATAAAACCTTCATAACACACAAGGGGATGGGTAATAACCGGAAAAGCATGACATGGGACTTTAAATACATTTATTTATTTAAAATGTTAAATATTACCAATTTACTCACGGACCACTAGGGGGCGCTCACGGACCACCAGTGGTCCGCGGACCACACTTTGAGAAACACTGGTATAAAGCCTTTGATTTGGGTTAGGGTGGTTGTTTGCAGTGGTTAGAAGAGGTATTTAGATATTCTACTTAAAGGGGCCCTATTATGCGGTTCACATTTGTATTGTGTTGTCTCTACTGTGACATGTTTACATACCTCAATCTTCAAAAACTCTTGATTTTTCTCACTCCCTGTTCTGCAGCACCTCTTTTCACCCTCTGTCTGAAACCAGAGTCCAGTCTGCTCTGATTGGTTAGCTGGACAGCTCTGTTGTGATCAGTGGCGGACTGGGACTAAAAATCAGCCCTGGCATCTCAACCGGCCCACTTCACTACCACTAGTAAATTGTCAATGTGGGGTGCTAGTGACTTATCCGACCGGCTCACTTCAGTACCGGCCCATCGGGATTCGTCCCGATGGGCAGTCCGCCACTGGTTGTGATCCTGAAGAGATGTCCCGCCCCTTAGCCTATCACGTACAATGTGTCTGAGCTCTGAGCTACATAATGATGTCACTATGTTACAGAAGTAAACAAAGGAGTCCAATGGAGGCGTTTCAGGTAGGGGGAGGGAAAGTGTGTGGAAGATAAACTCCCTCTGGAGGGAACCTTTTGGATTTGCAGACCATTTACATGCACAAAAACCTAAATAACACACTACAGGGACGACAAAACCCCCCAAAAGCACAATAGGGCCCTTAAGGTAAAAGTAATAATACCACAATGTAGAAATACTCAAAATCTTACTTAAGTTAAAGTATAAAAGTATTTTGCATCAATATTTACTTATGTACCAATTCTAAAGGAACTCATTATCCAAAGGGACCCAGTTATTTGAAAAAAATACGCATTTATGTCATTTTTATTTTGCAGCTGGTAAAGGTATCGGTTTTAAAATCAAAAGATGTATACACTGCCAGGTACATCCATCCATAATAGTACAACATAATGTACTAGTTATGCAAAAGTAACTAGTAACTAATGGTATAAATAAATGCAGGGGAGTAAAAAGCAAAATATCGGCTTCCAAAATGTAGTAAGCAGTAGTATAAAATGGAAATACTCAAGTAAAGTTTGCTTGTCTGTGTGCTATTGACAGTGTAAGTCCTTGATTCCATCCTTTCTTATACCTAAGATGATTAATCTGCGAGCGCTTTCCATCTGGTGAGTCAAGAAAATAAATCAAAGACATGGCGTTACGTTGTCAGAACTGCTCTCCTTATTACCATGCAAATAGGGCTTGTCTCCTGTCTTCCTCGCACTGTGCTTTGTAAACACCTGTCATCTTCACTCCTCTCTCTTTCTCTCTGTGTGTGTGTGTGTGTGTGTGTGTGTGTGTGTGTGTGTGTGTGTGGTCAGATCCAACGTGCTCTGCTTAGGAACAACCAGACTCAGCACTTCTCCCAGAAACAGGCGCTCAGGCCTGCACCAGGGCCTCGTCACCAGCACGGCAGAACAGGTGTGTGTCTGTATTATTGCACATGAGCAATTTCTCCCCCTGTTTTAAGATAAAATTATGAAAACATTTCCCAATGAATCGGAAATACTTTTTACAAAAAACTAAATAATTACCTAAAATTATTTGTATCACCTTCCACTTTTTTCGTCCATTTTCTTTTCCCTTTCTCTCTTACAAGATACCTGAAAAAATTGTAAGTTTGACTAAAAGTTAGCTAAAATGTTGCATAAAGAAAAACTAAAAAAGAAAGATTATAAAATATGACCAAATCTCAATGAATCTCGTCTAAAGAGTACTTCATGACCTAATATAAAATGCTCAATTGATGGCTGTACGTCTATTTCATTGTGTGTTTGATGTGTGTGTAGGTGATGGAGCGTCTGGTGTGTGCGGGTGCAGCAGCAGGTGGGTGTCCTGAAAGGTTCTGAGGAGGGAGAGGAGGGTCCAGACGGCCAGACAAATCCTGAAGGAAGCCAGGGACTCCAGAGCTGTGAGTAGAGTAACACTTTATTTCAAGCACGTGAGACTGTGAAACTGTTATAGCATATATAAAAATATAGGATGTGTGAGTCAGACACTTGGAGGAAGTACGTTTCTGTATTTGAACCAGTAGTGGAAATGACCGAAACTACCTCTCCTCAGGGATTCTACTTAAAGCACCATAACAAAGGGTTTTAGATTAACAATGGATTATATATTTGATCTGTAAAGCACTTTGGGCTGCATCTTCCAGACAGGTGCTATATAAATAAGTGTATTATTCTATATATTATTAAATCGATCAGTCCACTGGATGCCAATCATCAAATGGCTAGAGAGCCAGATATTTCCCTCAGGAGCTGGTGGAGCCCAAAAAGGAACCAAAAGTGAATATTGGACTGGACATTTGCCAGGTGTCTAGACACACAACTGCTTATGAATATTAACGTTGCTGTTTGAACTAGAAGTGCACTCGGAGAGTGAAATATAATGCTTCTATCTGCCCTTTCCTCCCCACCAAATTGTAATGGGATCTTCGATGTCCCATGCCAAATTTAACACGTTTATTGAATCAGTCAGTCCTGCTGACAAATAGAGAAACAAACCAAACCTAGAACATTTTTGAAGTTAATTATTTATCATCAATGTTACATTAATATCGTTAGATATTAGACTACAGATTTTAGATATCAAAATATTGTAAGCGTAGTCTTTTTAGGAATGTACGTTTTCTGAATGTATCTCACTGTGTTAGCTCTTCTATTATTTGCCTTTACCGACATGGTCATTCAATTAGTAATAATTATTTTTGAAAATATTATGTGAAAACTATAAATGATCAACCCTACCCCTATCAATATCGAGGTATTTGATCAAAGATATTGGGGTACTACTGATTTTCTTCAGATCCCCCAGCACTAATCAGGCGTCATGGTATATCATGACCTAACTCTACCTTTACCTGCTGCTATATCTAAACTATCCTTACATATTATTGATAATCCATCAACAGTTATAAATACGATAATAAACATTTCAGAAAGGGTATATTCTGTTAAATGAATTGTTCCACTGATTTTAACCGTTTTTCTTCCCTTTCCTGTCGCGTGTTTTTGTGTGTATTTGTGTGTAATAGCTGTATCCCTCTCTGTGTGAGTTGGCCCATGTGTTGTCAGTGGACGGCCCCGTCAAACAGCGTCTGGACACTCTGGCTGGAGAACTGGCCAAAGCCGCGGACAAGGAGTTGCAGGTAGGTCGGCGGTGGGGGGGACGGGGACGCAACCATAGCCATTCCCCCGATGCAATCGTATTTTAAACAGTAGTGCAGCTCTGGACTAGTTGCATTTAAATTGCCAATTAATGGCACGGGGCTGTGTGTGCGGCGCAGGTATGCTGACTTCAAACGAAAAAGGAGCATTTCAAATTCACAGGGAGGGAACTTGTTTACCATTTATTTTTATTCTACTCCCATTGGGATTCAGTATGAGTCGAATGATAAAAAAAAATTCCAAACCGCACGCCCTGAGGAGGAATCTGGAATACTTTCTTTTGAATTACTTGAGCTTAATTTCCATTTCTGTTTGTGCTTTCCAATTCTAATTTTTCATAAGTGAAGATCAATTCAAATGCAGCAAAACTGTATCTTGCAGATGAGGTGATCAGATCATATGATTTGTTAGCAGTCTATACATGGCTGAACGCATTGCTGCAGTGTACATAAATAAAACATGACAACAAGTCAGAGTAAAGGAGCTGGATGAAAAATCTAAGGGAGGAGATAAAGAAACAGTGTACATGAATAATTAGACGCTTGGGAAACACGAACGTGGGTGTATTGAGAGTGCATTATAAATGTTGCGAGATGTAATTTATGTGTAGTGATGCATGTGGGTGTTCGTCTGCAAACAGGTGGTGGTGGACTCCATGGTGTTGCTGTGCCGCGAGCTGTGTCCAATGTCCTGCTCCGCCGCAGAGAGACTCAACCCGCCCCTCTCGTCCATCTCAGAGCAAGTTTCCATCCCTCGCTCCGCCATCCGCAGCGCCCTGATGGAGCGAGCGGCGGAGGATATCAACAGAGCTTTAGAGTAAGAAGGGGTGAAAGAAGTTCAAAGGGAAGACACAAATGAATGCCGAGACACTTCTCGAATTGTAATTCCCTCCTCTATTTCCCTTGGCCTTTTCTTTCAGAGAGGTGAAGTTGTCTGTGGTCTCCTATCTGACCAACTCCATAGTGGATCAGATTCTACAAGAGCTGTACACCACCCATAAAACCCTGGTACTGGTAATACCCCTTTACTGCATGACTTCTATATAGAAATGTAGAACAAAATGTTTCTTTAATCTATAACGTCAATGCAAAGACTTAAAGGGGCCCTAATATGCTCCTTGGGGTTCTCCCTTTCCTGCAGTGTGTTATATGGGTTTGAGTGCATGTAAATAGTCTGCAAAGGCTAGAATCCCAAAGTTACCTCCTTTAGGCTTTTCTATCCCACACACATCCCCCCCTGCCTGAAACGCCTCAATTGGACTCCTTTGTTTACTTATTTAACATGGTGACATCACTATGTAACACTCACGCTCCGCTCCAACACATTGAACGTGATGGTTTAGGGGCGGACATCTCACAGCCAACCAAATGAAAAGTTTGCTGCAGTATGAGAAAAATAAAGTATATTTGAACATTAACGCATGTAAACTTCACAGTAGAGCCACAAAATACACATTTCAACATCAAAATATATACACAGAATATGTGCCCTTTAAAGATATTGGCATTGGTCTGTAACCTAAAAACGTGGTTCACATTTCTAACCAAACATTTTTCGCAACAGTGGTGCAATCCACAGAAAGTGCCCCCCCATTTTCAAAAATGTTTCACTGCGATCTTCTATAACAATAACCTTTTACTAATTTCAGCTCATCCGACCGGCTCCTGTGATCAGCCTTTAGATAAACCAAGGATCACATTATTTACAATATTGCAAAATACACACACCTTTTCAAATATCCAAACTTTGCCTTGTTCACTGAATTATCCATTATATTGATCAATATTGAGACCACAATTATTATATATCGATTGATCTTGCTGATCTTGTTGTGGCAATGAATGTCATCAAAGCTAACATTGAATAAACAAGGCACGACAATTTCAGCCAAAAACATAACAACTTCCAGCACTGCATCAAATATTCCAATCATTGTCCAATGTGTCCTACTTTATATGAACCCCATTACATTTATCCAAGTTCTTGAAGTAGGTTGGAAGTGATTGACAACCTGCAGACTGGCCCCCTGCATCACTAACGACTAACTCTAATTGGTTAGAAAGTTTCCACACTTTAAAAAGAGCTATCACTGAGTCAAATACATTTCATGCTGCTCTCAAAAAGCAACAACTAATATTGTATCGTTGCTAAAAATCCTCCATTGATTTGTGCAGTGTGTTTGTCTACTACATGATGATTCATTTCATTTAGTGAGGCGATATTTTTCTCTAGTAAGATGAGTCATGGATTCATCTGAAAACACTGTATTTTCTAAAGCGTGTTGTCTGCTGAGTGGAATACATTAGTGTGCTGTTTATCAGATCCACAAACATTATTGATCAAATGTTGCCGCAAGTGTGCCTATAGCTACATAAGCAAAGTGCAGAGATGTTCACCCAGTGGCCCAGGAATGTCGAAGTCAACAAACATTTTTAGCGAGTGGAGAATCAGCGGCAGTGCAATTTGATGTGAAGTGCAGCAGCTCATTATTGGTCTCCTTATCAAAGACTTTCTCCAGCGTGGAGTATCCATTAAAGTTTGATGTGTGGGATGTTTGTGATCTCTCATTCTGTCAAAAAAAGTCTGTGTATCTTTTCATTTTGAGCATCTTTAAGTGAAGTCGGGACTGTTTTAGAGCGGCTGCTGTGTCATTACCACATCAAGATGAAGGCTTTTTAAGTATCGAGTAGGAGAATATTGCCTCGAGAAACAACAGAGTTTTGAGTCCGTTAAAGGACGTGATTAGAGCCTGCGGTTTTTCCTCTCCTCTCCATTTAATTGAAATGTATAAAAAAGAAACCAGTGGAAAAGCAGGCAATACAACTGCTGGCTGCTGCTTTGCATTCCATTCATTGCTTCTACCTTACATCTCTTTTTTCTCTTCTCGCAGTGCCAGTTTGTCCTCTATCATGCCTCACTCAGGTTTGATCATCAGGAAATTGTGTTTAATACATGGTCTTTTCAACTATAGCGCTACGCTTTCTTTGTAAGCGTCCTGCGTACAAGGGCGGGCCCGCTTCTCCTCCGAGATTGTGCAGAAGGGTTATTGATCCAGGTGTCATAAGTGTGTGTGTGTGTGTGTGTGTGTGTGTGTGTGTGGTGTGTGTGTGTGTGTGTGTGTGGGGTGTGGTGGTGGTGTGTGTTGTGTGTGTGTGTGGTGTGTGTTGTGGGTGTGTGTGTGGTGTGTGTGTGTGTGTGTGTGGTGTGTGTGTGTGTTGGTGTGGGTGTGTGTGTGTGATCAGCTGCGGCAGGTGTCTCAGGCGAAGCGCTGGGATGACGTCGGGACGGGCCGGCGCCCGTCAGACAGTCAGGATAGCTGAGTCCCTGGAATTTCCGATGAGGATTTGGTGTCAACCTGGGAATAGTAAGTGTCCGAGTGCATGCGGATAAAATGTGAACCCTCGCTACGTCTCCAGGAAAAATCATTGACGGGCTAGTGAAGCGGCAGGGTACGGGACAGAGGGTTTTGTCGAATTTCAAAGAAAAACAAAGATTGGCTTTAAGAATATAAAAAATATAGCAGAGCTCCAGTGATGAATACATCGTTGAAGCTTGTAAAGGTACGATGGCAAGCGGCACACAAAGCAACTCAACAAAGAGGTTACAAACAGGGCGTGGTTGTTGTGTGTTTCCTCTCAAAATACATAAATACAACACATCAACTTTCATTGGTGTGACTTTCCTTCAATCTGAGTAAAATAACATCCTCGTCCTCAATGCTACTAGCTTATAATGACTTGAACAGTATGAGAGGGCAGCCTACTAACAAGCTTTGTTTTGTTATACACCAAAAAGATCTTGGGGGGGGTGGTCAAGGGTTACTATGCCGCCAAAATATTAAGCTATGAGCCCCCTCTTAAAATAACTCTCGCTAAAAAATCTACTTTGAAGGCCTTTTTCTAATAATTGTTTCTTGATAACTCATTTTTTTATGTGACCCGAATTATTGTTTTTGTTCTCCAAATACTCATACAAATAGCTAAATAGTCATTAAAAAGCTGAAAATCTACTCTTTCCAACAAGGTTTACAACTTTAAATGTGTTTCGGGGTCAAAGTGACTGATTTGATAGAGCAGGTCACATTATGTGTGTGTTCAGTGGATTGAGAGTTTCTTTTTTACAGGTGGTACATGTACCAGATGGTTTGTTACGCAGAACCATCTGAGAAGCTATCATTTGGAAACTGTTCTGAAAAGGGCATGCACTTTGAAAAATTGCCTTGGCAGGTGATTGGACGAACCATCTGTCTATCACCGTCTGCCGTGGCCAGTTGTAGAAGAGGGAACACATTTTCTATCCAAAAAAGCCGGGTTTTTTTATAAAGAAATCCAGTTTTGATTTAACTGAGCATCTTCTAGAAATGGGACTATCAGTTATGCCAATGGTTTAAAATGGTTTCGAAAATGGAATTTGTTTTACTGAAAATATGATGCATAAGCCCGTGATTTCTTTCTGCGTACTTTTTTTGTGCTGTTCTCACATTTATGTTAACATATTTGGCTGCAGTGTTTGAAATAAAAGTGCATTTTACTTTTCTCTCGTTTTTTAAAAGGACACAATGGCTATAAAGAAGCGGAGCTCCAGAACTAGAAGAATCCGTCCCGTCTCCACCAGACCCAGTGAGTGTTTTGTGCCTCCGCTAGCTGCTAATTAGCCTCCAGTGCTAACATAGCCTGATATTATATCACATATTAGCATGGTCATGGTCAATTCACTTTTTACTTGTAATACAGTGAGAAAGTTCTTTAATTGGTTTAACTTGAACTTGTAATTGGTGTGCAACTATATTCCTCCCCAATGCTTATGCTTATAGGGACTTTGTTATCTGCCACTCTATTAAATCTTGTATGTTTAATCTTTGAAATTGAAGGATAAAGCCTTTTTAAGTGGCCTTTATATCCATTCTATGGTGGCCTACAGGTGCAAACGTGTTAATACTTCCCAAAACACCTCCATTAGGAGAATCGTGCTGCAGCTTACAAAAAAGGTTGCAAATATAAAAACAGAAATGGGCCAAAACACATACAATGAAGAAACATCTCCAACTTGACAAAACATGTGAAGTGCATAAACAATACGCTGCAAATATAAACCATGAAAGTAAAGCACGATGGGAAAACATGATCGAAACGGGGACACTAAAAAGTGGAGCACAGCTGGGACCTGGGCTTGTTGATATTTGGGCTTTCTAAGGTCGTGTCAACTGTCCCTGGAAACGTATCTAAAATGCAAGTTATATTGGCTTTTTAACAATATGATCACAAGATTTCTTCAATATTATTGGAAGTCTGCAAGCTAGCCAACGTAGCTAGCTTGCAGACTAGCTAACCTCATTTCAAATATACTGACAAATCCCTTACAAATATGAAACAGACTAACTGTTCCAACAGTGACAGTTGGCCAACTTTATAATCCCTGAACAAGCTCTCCGGTCCCAGCGGTGTGCATCACTTTCTGATGTCCCTTTTTCCATTATGTTTTGAGCTTCTTTCTGCATTTTTTATTTGAAGCATTTTGCATGTTTGGCCAAGTTGGTGAAAGTTTTGAAATAAGGTGAATGTGTGTCCAGTTGTAAAAGGGGTTGTCATAAAAACTAACAACGTGTAATTTAACCAAAAAACGATTCCTTTTAAAGTCATTGTCATTTTGTCTAGGTGTTGGTGATGAGCCCAGTCCCTCTCCACCCCCTCTGCTCCACTGCACTCCGACCCTCATACACACTCGGCATCATGGGAGTGTCTTTCCACCCTCCCCACAAATGGCTCGCCCTTGCGTCACGTGACCCACGTCAGGCCCCGCCCACCACGGAGACACAGAGCGGGGCACCCTCCCCCTGAATCTGTAAGTCTATGGGAATAACCTTTGACCTAATTAAGAATATTCATTATTCTTCGAGCAAGTGACCAAGTACCCTAAATGGCTTTTTGTCCACCCCAAACATTTACTTTTTTAATTCCATCTGGCTCTTTTAATGAAGGTAATGGAGTCTGTGTTATATAAGTGACATCAGTGTATGTTGAACTGCCCTATTTCTGATCTTACGCTGAAGTTAAGTCTATGTTGAGAAAGTAAACCCAGCATGTATCTAGTTCTCAAAGGCCTCTTTTATCTCCTTTGTGTGAAATGTTGTTATTTATCTGGTTTTCTATGCCACGGGTACTTTCCAAAAATAAGTCCCTCTTTCTTTATAAAGCAGGAAGCTGTCGCGTATGTCTCTGTGACTCACCTCCCAGGGGCAGCCTCTAACTTAGCGGCTTGTTTGTTTGGAGATTTTGTAAAAGGCTTTTTCTAAATCGGTACAAACTCTGTTAGGGCAGCATGATCAGGAGCTGTTTTACAAACACACTTCTGTTGGCAGTGGACTCACTCCTGCAAGCCAGACATTTAGAACCATAATACCTTCTGCCAGCCTTTCAGATTCTGTCGACATGGCGGGTTGATCATTGCTATCCTGCTATTCTATCTGTTTCCTGCAGCACGGCTCAGAGAACGGAGGAGCCAGTACGATGGAGGACGGACTGCCTGACTTCTACAGCAAGAGAGTTCTACCTGACAGGTGAAGCTTTTCTTGGACTTTAAAACATGTATTGGATGTGTCAGTCAATGCTCGTACAAATGTTAAAAAAGGCTAAAAAGACAGAGTGAGTTTCTCTCCCACACACCCTTCCTGAAACAACTCCATTGGACTCCTTTGTTTAATTCTGTAACATAGTGACATCATTATGTAACACATATTGGCTAGCGCTCCAACACAAGGTATGTGATAGGATAAGGGGCGGGACATCTCTACTGTCACAGTAGAGGCAAAACATACAAATATGAACCTGACAATTAGCTACTATGTCCTCTTAAAAAATGTCATTGAATATTTCAATATGAGTTATACTGACATCATGTGTTACAGATGTGAATCACATTTGAATTCTTACTATAGGTCACATTTGCTCTATACTCAAA